ATTAATGGATGTCTATTCTATTAAAGCTTCTCTATCTGTAGAATGGGTCTGTTTGATGTGTAGTTTTCTCAGTTCAGAGGGCCCCCTTCCTGTCTAAAATCCCCCAAAAAACCTGAGACAACACGAATCAAATCAGCTGCTGTTTTTTAACCCTTGGTAGGGCCCAGTAGATATTCTCCTGCATTTTGATGACTCTACAGCAATCCCTCACACAGAGCATGCATGCAGCGACAGTAGAGAGGGAAAACTCCCTTTGAACAGGAAGAAACCTCCAGCAGAACCAGGCTCAGCGTGAGCGGCCATCTGCTTAGGCCGACTGGGGTTCAAAGAGACAGCAGCAGACATAGAATAAACATATAATCTCTGATCTATAAATACATTTTATGTTAGAAAAGTTATCAGTGAAATAGCTCCATTGATGGCTCTGTCGAGAAAAGAAAGAGTGGAGCAGATAAGCTCTGTAGAAGTTTTCATTTCAAAGGATAGAAGGGAGCACCTCCAGTTAGTTACAGTAAAAGCTTACTAAATAGCTATAGAGGAGAGAAACAGGACTAAACACTGAAAAGCAGGCCCACCTATCATCATCTAAAATCGAAGGTGTTGATGGGTCTAGCCTAGCTGATAGGTCTTTCCAGGATGGAGTCAGTCAAACAGGACCAGATCAGATAAAGTTGCAAATACATAAAAAAGCAGAGAGAATATAAAGTTATGAGTTGAACTAACAATTACTGCAGAATGGGAGAATAGAGTTAAATACACCTACAACAACTTGATGAAAACACATAAACACTGAGCTGCTAAAACATTTAATTTCCCTTTGAGATAAATAAAATATTTTAGAATTTAATTGGAATTGAATGAAGCAGAGTGATGAAAATCGGTCCCCATGTCCTCCAGCAGGTTAAGTCCATAGCAGCAATACTATAGAGAGGATAACTTTAGTCACTCTAACTTTGTTTTAAGCCCAGTCACAGATGTAGACTGGGTGTCTGCCTCATGGATAAAGGTTAAAAGTTAAGCACACTTGGTTGGTGAAATAATGATCTATAGCCCATTAGTGAGCCTTTGAACGGCAACAACAAGGTTTTAAAATGAAATGAACTAGATCATATGTGTCAAACCTCAGGCCTGCAGGCCAGATCCGACCTTTACCTGGCTCCCAACAACCAAGAAAGGCATGACATAAAGGAGAGGCATGTGTTCTTTTAAAGTGAACACATGGCTAAAATTGCTAGTTATAATACCAGAGCAGAGTGCTTTTTGGAAGTGAACTGGGAAGTGGTCCTCTTAAATACACCCCTGGCCTGGAACAAGTCTGAACTAGAATGAGACAGTGTGACCTTAGAAAGGCTGTTCATGCCAGAAAACCACAACCGACATTAAACAATTCTGCAGAGAACAGAGGGACGGGAAACCCTCTACAACTAAAAATTCACAACCAGTTAGCTTAAATATTTAATGGCAACCGTTGCCTCCCAGAGTTTATAGGAGGAAATGACTATTTCCCATAAAGCCAAGTTGATTTGGATGTTTGTCTCCTTTAAGACATAAAATGATCATTATAAATAAACACTTAGTCTAGATAGATAGATAGATAGATAGATAGAT